GCAGCCAAGTCCTACCTCTCCGACGGCTGCGTGCGCGAGTCCAACCACTCCGCCAAGTTCGTTTGTGCCCAAAGCTAGGCCGTACGTACGTGTGCCCCGGCAGACGTTGCTGGACCATTGCTTGGCCCCATGGCTCACGACCGACAACGAGTACACGTCGATCGACGTGGAGAAGCAGATGGTCAGGCACAGGTGGGGGCACACGAAGGTGTCGTACGTTGGCGACCGCAGGTTCGATCCCTCGCCTCCCTCCCTCACCCCCCCTCCCCCCGCCCCGACCTCCCCCCCCCGCCCCCCCTCGAGGGCGCAGTGGAACCTCGAGTCCACGACGGTTTTCGCAGGCGGCCACTGCTCTGAGGACCGACCCTCCTCTCCCACCCCCCCACCCCACCCCCCCACGCGCATGCCCCCCCCCCTGGCTCGCCAGGACGTTTGGAGCTTCGCGTACCTGGATTCTTCGGCGAGCTCTTCGTCGGCCAATGCAAATTCAAATTAATTGCATGCAAATGACCTTCAATGTGAATGACACCTCTTGGGGCGCCCGGGTTCCCCCGCGCGCTGCTGCAGAGAATCATCGTCCCGCTCCGTCTCATCGACTCCCTCCTGCGGACCTCATCGCCGTCTGATCTTGCGCTGCCTCCTCTGCCCCCGTCCGCCCCCCCCCCCCCCCGCCTGCAGCTGCAAGAGTTTGAGCGATGTCGAGGGCGACCCGAGGAGGAGGCTGCAAGCGAGGTGGGAGGTCCTAGGAAGGAGATCTGAAGGAAGGAAGGCATGCGGAAAAGGAGACGGAATGGAGGGGGAGGAGGAGGACCACGAGGATGAGGGCGGGGATGGGGATGAGAATGAGGATGAGCATGAGGATGGCGGAGTTGGGGGTCGCCATTGCAGAGAGCGGCAATCGCGCTGGCCTGACTTCCCCCCCTCCGCCCCCCTCCGCCCCCCCCCCGCCTCCGCCAGGCGATCGCCAGCCGCGTCCACCACGTGACCGACGCGGTGCAGTTGGGCGCGCCAGATGCCGAGCTCACGAAAACATCAACTATGCGGCCTTTGTCGGCTGGCCGCCAGCGGCCAGCCGACAGGGGCAGCGCGATGGAGCGATCAGCCGACGGGGGCCGCATACTTGATGTTATTCTTGAGCACGGCAACGTGCATATACAAATTTGTATCTATATATGCGCCACCCCCCCAGCGAGGAAAACTCGCAACCCCCTCGCCCCCTCTTCCAGCGCCGAGCGGTCGGCCGCCCCGCAAGGGCTGGGAGGGCCGCCGCCTCGCCCCTCCCCCCCCTCCTCGATCCTCACACGTGCGCGGCAAGGCCGCCCCGCGAGGGCGGGGGGGGCCGCCGCCTCGTGCGCGGCAAGGCCGCTCCGCGAGGGCGGGGAGGGCCGCCGCCTCCGAGCTCCTCCTCATCGATCCTCGCCTCCGAGCCCCTCCTCATCGATCCTCACCTCCGAGCCCCTCCTCCTCCTCATCGATCCTCACCTCCAAGCCCCTCCGCGACGCCCCTACGCGGCAGAGCCGCCCCGCGAGGGCGGGGAGGGCCGCCGCCTCCGATCCCCCCCCGCGCCCAGGGAGCAAAGCCCCCCTTTGTTTCACCCGTTTCACCATGGCAACATCCGAGGGGGAGGGGGGCGAAGAGGCAGAGGAATAGGAGTAGGAGGAGGAGGAGGAGGAGGAGGAGGAGGAGGAAGAGGAGGAGGAGGAGGAGGAGGAGGAGGAGGAAAGCTATCTCGGAGCGAGCGTCTGCACGCCCAATGGGCCACTGAGCGGCGCGCGCCGCTTCCCCCTTCGCCCCTGGGACCACAGTCCCAGGAGGCGAAGGACATGGCGCTGTTGCTGTGCGACGCGCCGCACTCGGACACCATATATGTTGTGTCATGTATACATCCCTTCCTCCTTCAACTCATCGAGCCCCCCCCCGTCCTCCTCCTTCTTTATTCCTGCTCCCCCTCCTTCCTCATCCCCATCGATCGCCGATAGGAGTTTCAGCGCACGAGCGCGAGCGAAATCCTAGTGAGACTGAGGTGCCAGTTCGATCCATGATGCGCGAAAAAAACGCGCCCGCGGGCGCATCCCCTTCTTTCTGGGCCCTCGATCCCCATTTCCTCGTTCTCGCGATCGTCCTCCTCGATCCTCTTCGACCCTTGCTCCTCGCGACTTGCCTCCTATAGATCACGTCCTCCTCGGCCCCCGATCTCATCGTTGTCGATCCTCGATCCTCCTCGATCGTCGATTCCCCATCGATCCCCATCCCCTCGGCCCCCGATCCACACATCAATCCTTCCTTGCAAGCCCTCGATCCTCGATCCCAGTCTCCCCCGACTGCAAGTTTCACGCTTCAGGCATGCGCCTGCCCGCGCTCGTTGCGTTTCGACCCCCGCAGGTCGCCCTCGAGCCCCCCCCTCCTCGCGCCCGGTCTCGGAACCGCGCCCCGCCGTATTTCTGGAGAATGTCGCGGGGATCACGAGCAAGTCAAGCGACGTACGCTCATGATCACACATGTATGGCGCGGGTCCAAAACACACATATATATATATATATATATATATTCCTCTTCCTATATTTTTACAAGCCCGGGCGGCCGCAAAACCCCGCACCCCCCCCCCCCCCCAAACCGGACTCCTGGGATCCTGGGACTTTGGGACCCTCCGGACGCCCATTGAAGCGGTCCCGAGTGCCTCAAGAGCGCTCCAAGACAGGCACAAAGCGCTCCAAGACGCCAAAGATAGCCCCAAGACAGCCTCAGGAGCCCCCAAGACGCCCCAAGCGGCCCCAAAGAAGCCCCCCAAGACGGCCCCGGGAGGCCGAAATGGTCAATTTTCCAATGTGTTTTTCGATGTTTTCTGCTTTCTCGCCATTTTAGCTTTCCGACGCTCCAAGACAGAACTAGAGGCCCTCAAGAGCGCCCCAAGATGGCCCGGGGGGGCCCCAAAACGGCCCCAACACGGCCCCAAGACGGCTCTGGAGCGCCCCGAAACAGCCCAAGAGGCGCCCAAGAAGGCCCAAGAGGGCGCCGAGAAAGCTTCAAACGAGCCCCCACAGGGCGATCAAAGTTCAAACATCTAACTTTCCGCCCCAAGTGGGCCCCAGGAGGCCCCAGGAGGGCCCCAGGAGGGCCGCGCTAGACGCCAACGCGCGCAAGGGTTGAAGGACCAAGGTGCATGGCGCGAAGCGCCAATGCAGTCTTGTATATATATATATATATACATATATATCACAATCCTTCTTCACAGTTCCTGCATGCAACGGCGCAGATCGTATGCGATCTGCGCCGTTGCATGCAAGAACTTATATGTTACGCGATGCCCCGCAAAAAGTGCTCGATACATCCTCCACAGCCGCTGGGCGTCAGAGACCCCCGGGGTCGAGGGGCGGGAAGAGTCGGCGATGCAGGAGGCGGAGGAAACACCACATCATGGAATTCGAAATTAAATCTCTTGCACTTCCCCCCCCGACCCGAAACCCCATCCGAGCTCCCTCCCCCCCCAGCGCCTCTGTTCGCTCAGGACGGCGGCACGTGCCCGTCGCGAAAGCGACAACGTGGATATACGCATACGATCGTCGGAAAATACACCTCGTCCCTGCCCCCCCCTCTTCCTGCGCGTGTTCGACGCCTTTCGATTTTTCCTGCAGCTCACGGCGCAGTCCCCTTCTCCTCCTCACCCCTCAACCCCCTCGGTGCACTGCGGCTGTTGTTTTTGTTTGGGCGAACGTCCGACGCAGCCGCCAGTTGACTGTACACGCCGCCGCCGCCGCGCGTGCCGAAGCCCCGACCGATGTCGGCCCTCGAGACGATCCGCAAAACCAGCGGAAGGCGATCGAGTTGGACAGTGGATCGACGATTTAACCCTGCAGGGCGTGGTTATTTTTATATCTGTACATATAAACGTACAGCTATATATGTGTGCACACATACATATATATATATATACACATACATACATACACACATATCTATATACATATATATATATATATAAATATATATATATATATATGTATCACTCTCCCCCTCGCGTCGCGGTCAGTTCTGGCCGAGGACGGGCGCGGGCTGCCCGTGGAGGGGGCGCCCGTCGACGCTCTGGACCCTGAGTCGGAAATATCCTCGATCCCTACCCCGCTTCCGCTCGGTCGGCTGCGACGCGGCGCGTCCGAGAGCGTGGAGTTGAAGTGCGTGCGCATACATCATATATATATATCACTGTGATACGACATGATATATGATGTATCCAACATAAGTACATGATCGCATGTACCCATGATATGCGGACCTGGAATTCGATATGTAAGTTTTGCCCACATTACATGAATCATGGGTACATGACAACTCATGGGTACCGTGCCTATGTCATGAGGCCCACGACCCTCTGGGCTGGCCCCGTGTGTCGACCTCCTGCCCCTCGACGCGCCTCTGCACCCCTTTTTGCTGCTTCCAGAATGCTTTCCTGGGGTACCTTCCGATGCGCCAGATGCCTGGGTCTGTTCGGGGAGACGTAAGACCCGGGTACGGGGGACTCGGATATCCCCGACGAGGTCGTCAAAAAAATGACGAGGCCGAGCCTGCATTTTGACGAGGCCTCCCGCTGCAGACATCCCACGAAACTCCTCCTCGTCAAAATCCGAGGCGCGGTCGTCAAAAAACGATGGCGAACCCGAGTCCTGGCAAACCCGGGTCTTACGCTCCCCCGACAGAATGCTTTCCTGGGGTACCTTCCGATGCGCCAGATGCCTGGGTCTGTGCTGCCTGGGCGCACCTCCCCCCTCCCCAGACCCCCGACGCCCTGATTTTTGTCAGGGCGGCGCCCCCGGAAGTCCAGACCCTCTCCCAGGGGCCGGTTTCTCATCCTGAGTCGTCCTCCAGACGGTCCCGAGACCCGGGGCCCCCCCGAGGAGGCCGACCGAAAACGGCCAAAAACCATCCGTCCTGATTTTTGTTACGAGGCGCCAGATACCTGGGTCTGTGATGCCTGGGCGCACCTCCTCCCCCCCCCCCCCCCGGCCTGTCCCGGTCGCGGTCCCGGTCGCGGTCGCGGTCGCGGTCCCGGTCGCGGTCCCGGCCCTTGTCGCGGTCCCCTCTGTCCCGGTCCCGGTCCCGGTCCCGGTCCGCGCTGCCGGAGCGGCTGCCCTTCTCCTGCCGCTGCCCGCGGGTCGTGGCGAGCAGGGTGCGAGAGGAGAAGGGGAGGAGGGCATGACGACGAGCATGGATGGGGAGGAGAAGGCGGTGGGAGGGGGGGAGCCAGGGTCCCTGAGACAGACGATCCTCCCTCAAGCACAAACTATGCCGTTTTAGCAGCAAAGAAACCGATTGGAACGGGAAGGCGACATACCTGGCACAGGCGAAACATGGACGGATCGACTACATGGGAATGGTCGTGCCCACTCCTCGACTGGAACTCGTGCGTCGGTCCAGCTCGCCTCCTGCTTCAATCAGTCCGCTTAGCCCTCCTCTTCCCGTTCCCCCTCCTCGACCTCCTTGTCCGCCTCCCCACCCTTCCTTCCCCAGACTCTGGGGGCCAGTTCTTCCACCCGAGTCGTTCTTTCACGGCCCCGAGGCCCGGCGGGGGGCCCCCGAGAGGCCGAAGACGGGCTACAGACACCTCCCGTCCTGTTTTTTATTCGGACGCGATCGTGTATGGGCCCCGCTCCTCGTCCTCCTCGAGGCCCCCCACCTTCCTCCCCCCTCCTCGTTGGACGCCCGGAATGGGTACGGAAAGAATGCGCACAATGCCTAACAACAAATGTTGTCCCAAACCAACAGCGGCCGCTGTTGGGCAAGCGGCCTTCTGTCTCGAATGGGCACAGGCCGCGGCGGCGCGGACGGCGAGTCCTGTTCAAAATGAACAGGAACTGCTGTTGGGCATCGTACCCATTCTTTCCGTACCCATTTCGGGCGTCCAAATCCTCGTCCTCCCCGAGGAAGCACGCCCGGCGGGTGGGAGTCCTTGTCGCGGCCCTTCTTGCGGTCTGGGCTCCTGCTCCTGGTCGGCGATAGGGTTAACTCGGGCGTGTCCCCCTAGATGGGATTTCCGACGGAAAATTAAAAATCCCCCAAAAATGCTCCAAAATGGTCAACTATACTCAAATGATAATCCCCAGGCTAGTGTTTGACTATTTTTGAATATTCCCCCTGTAGAGGGACAGGCCCGACTTGACTATAGGGTCGAGGCGGGGGGACGAGGAGGACGCCGAGGGGGAAAGCAGGCTGGGAGGAGAATCAGGCTTACACCGACACGATCGCGCCGTAAACAGAAATCAGGACGGGAGGTGTTGGGCCGTTTTCGGCCTCGGGGGGCCCCTGCCGGGTCCCGGCACCGTCAAAAAACGACCCAGGTTAAAAAACCGGCCCAAGGGAAAGGGTCTGGACTTCTGGGGACGCCGTCCTGAAACAATCAGGGCGTCGCATGTCTGGGGGTTCTGTTGCTCCCATCGCACTTAAGGGCCACATCTAGAAACATAAATTCGAGCACCCGAGAAAGTATCGAAACCGTGTCGGACGAGTATCGCCTCCCGGGGCCCGACACGTGAAGGCCCTCGAGTTTCGGTGCTGTTTTGGTGCTCGAAAGTTGTTCTGGTGATCAAGGCTAAAGCAGGTTGAAACATCATACAATGAGGGAAGGACGAGGAGGACATATTCTGAGAAGGCCCGCCCCATCTCACTTCCCGCCCAGGGCGCGCCGCCGAGAAATAACGAATCGACGCGAAACCGACTGGCGACCGCACCCACACACGGGGAATGCCACTGTCGAGTGGACCAACGGAGACTTCCCCAATCGCATTGCCTGGATGGATGCCTGGCCTTGTTGGGTCTCTGGAGGACTTCGGGGACCTCCAGAGACTTCTCGGTTGTGAAAAAGGCGGAGAGACAGCGAAGATAATTCAGGGGAAAGCATAATAAGGAGGAAAGAGAGGACGGGAGAAGGAGGAGCAGAAGGAATACGACAAAGGGGAGGCATGAGGACGCACGGTGGCAGGGGGATCTCCTCCAGAACCTTCTAGCTTTGAGCGCCACTCACTATACGAAGGGAGCGCTACACTATAAACAGACGACCAAGGGGAGGAGCAGGAGGACGAGGACCGCCAGTACCAATCAGAGGACGATGAGGAGGAGGCCAAGGTGGATGATGGGGAGAAACTTTGCAAGGTGGAGGGGCACGCGTGGAACGAGAATCGGCACCGCGGCCTGTGGCGGCGGAGCGAGGACGAGGCCGACGCAGAGAGCGGAGGAAGGATCGGCAGGAGAGTTGGAGAGGAGGGAGCAAAACAAACACAACACAACACACACACAAAAAAACACACACAACAAACACATCACAACAAACAAACAACACACACACAAAAACACACGTGGGGAAATAACACACACACACACGCGGAAACAAAACAACACAAACAGTGGGAAAACACACACACGCACTCACACACACACAACAACAACAACAACAACAACAACAACAACAACAACAACAACAACAAAAACAACAACAACAGCAACAGCAACAACAACAACGACGACAACGACGACGACAACAACACATACAAAAAACACACATGTGGGAATACAAGCACCACAAACAAACACACACAGACAAAACAACACACAACAAAACACACGTGTGTGATTTTGTCTGTTTTGTGTGTGTGTGTTTGTGTGTTTGTGTGTGTGTGTGTGTTTTTGTGCGTTTGGGGCCAAGACCCCGCACCTTCTCGAAACCTCTCGGGGCGTGTCGCTCCGCGCCACGGCACTGCCGGGGCGCTCGGCGAACGATGTCGAAGTGCACCGTGGACCGACTCGCGGCCTCTGCAGCTGCGATGCGAAAAGGCGCACCGGGTGCCCTTCCCTGGAGGAGACGCGCACAGCACGCGCGGGACCTGCGGCACCTCACTGTTTCTGTTTTTGTCGCCCGCCAAACGACGGCTCAAACCCACCCGTTTCCGTGCCCCTCATCCACGGGGGGTCGCAGGGCAGGAGCAAAGCTATGGTGCGAGCAATGATCGCGCGAGGGCTCCTGAAGGGGGGGGGGAAGGCAACGACCGAGCCAAACCCGCCGATCTTCCTTGAGTGAACCCTGGGAACGACAAAGCTCTGTTGCTTATCACTTTCGTTGTGATCTCTTTCCTGAGAGAAGAGATTCCCATCGCAATGTTGTTGACGTTTCTGGCGCCGTTGCTTTGAACTTTTCGTCTCCCCGGATCGAAGCCTGGTCCAAATCACCGCTGGCTTACCGGATCCAAGCCGTTTTCGAACCAATCCTCAAAGTCATTGTCGCTTCGGTAAAAAAAGACTCCTTTCGTCTCGGTTCACCTCAACGCTTCGGTAAACCCTTTTTTTCCCACCTGGCAAGTAGGGGCCGTTAGATATAGGAATACACCTCCCGACCTGCCCACCCTGCATACCGCAGCGGGCGGATCCCCAGGTCCACCGAAGAGTACCCGAGACTCCCGCCCCTCCAGATCCGACCTGCCCACTCTGCATACCGCGGCCGCCAAATCCTCAAATCCATCGCGAATCCCCGAGACTCCGGCCCCTCCAAACCCGACTCGTCCACAGCGCAAGCCACCGCAGCCGCAAGATCCCCGGGTCAACCGAGAATCCCCGAGACTCCTGCCGCGGTGAGCATGACAGAACAGATCCAACTACACAGAGCATAACAGAGGATACCATGACAGGACAGAACATGATGACTGCACGTACTACGATATAAAAGAGTATAACATAACCCAGCATCCCATACCAGGGCATATCATATCATAATATAACAAAGCATGCTATGCCCGAGCAGGGAATCCACAACATAGCATGGCATCACACATCGTAACTGTGCAGCGCATAACATGTCAGAACATAGCATGGCAACACAGAGCATACCGCCGCATGACAGAACATACCATAACATAACACAGCGCCACGTAACATAGCATAGCATGATGGTGTACAGCGGCTGAACGCGACATGATATATCATATGACCACATGACAATATCATACCATACCACTGCGGGACATAACAGAGCATGACCAGACACATACCCGACGACATCATAACATAGCACAGTATTGTATTACCTAGCGTGGCATGCAAGAGGGTAGTATAACAGGCCAGACGTGAGGTGCTCTTGTTACCACGACGGCAACGAATTTCATCGAACATCATAGACTGCCATCTAACGAAGAGGAATAGCATGGCATGACATAGCATGCCACCATGCCATAAACATAATACAACATTGCACTTATTTCATACAGGAAATGTTGCACTGCTGCGAGCATTGCGGCAACGAGTATGTTGTTGCATCCTATTATGGGCAGGGCATGCAATAACATACTCAACTTGATACAGCGTTAGCGATGTAACATAACACCTCGTACCGTACTACATCGACATGGCTCACACTTCGGCTTAAGGCCGAGCTGGACAAACCATGATATACTAAACACGAAAGAGTGGGTGACGTGCGCGCCGCGTTCAGGCTGGAAACAGGAACCAACAACGACCGATTGGACGACGTATCTAACGTGACAAACATCACGACGTCACGCCGGCCCGCCAAGAGCACAACATATCACAATAGAGTATGGCGTATTAGACTCAGATGGTTTTTTATGTAATTGAATATTGTGGAATACAGCAACGACAGAACAATTGTGCTCTGGCAAACGCCTTCCACGCCGACGTAAGGCTGGCCACTGAAAAAAAGGCGCAACAACGACCGATTATACTGCATATCGAGCGCGACAGGCGTCACGACATCACGCCCTCCTTCGAGAGCAGAGCAAAACAAACCTGCTGAGCATAGAACATGACAGAACGCTACATAATAGAATGCAACAGATACCTAGAAATGCCGTTCTATAATACGCGACATGCGCGCGGAGCCCACGCTGGCCACAGGAACAAACAGTAGCAGCAATGACCGACCAGACGAGCCCGTCCAGAACAGAACATAGCACAATATGATGTCATGTACTAGACTTGGGCAACTCCCCAGCGGGCAGAAGATGCTACAATATTCTACTGCAGCCACAATTTCACGGCGTCTCACCACGCGTACCATAATACAATCAAACGCGACGTGCGTGCCAAGGTCAGGTTGGCCACAGGAACAAACAGGCGCAACAAGACCGATTGGACAACGTATCTAACGAGACATGCGTCAGGACGTCACGCCGGCCCATCGAGTTCACAACATACATACATCAATACGACATACTAGGACCGGGTCGACTAAACCATCGTCAACATAACGCTCCATAAAATAACGACAAATACAATGCTCCCTGTCAGGCGCAGCGTCCGTGCCGACGTAAGACTGGCCACACGACAAACACAGGCGCAGCGTCGACCGACCAGACGTCACGCGGCCCCGCCAAAAACATAGCAGAACAAACGAGATGAGCGTATGACAGAACAGGGTCGAACAAAAAGTGATAGTCGAATACATATGCGCGCCGAGCACAGGTTGGCCACACAAACAATGAGTACCGCACTCGGGAACAAACGCTGAAGGCTTCGGTGGTGATCGCTCGAAGCAGCAGATGTTTGTTGCTCCCTTTTCACTCTCTCGAGTCACTCGTGATGGAAGCGGCGAAAGATCGTCCCTGCCGTTTCCAGGGCCACTCTCTGCTCCGAATCCCCCCCCCCCTCTCCCCGCCCCTTCCAGGCGGGAGAACCCCGCAAGAATTAAGAGAGGCCTTTTCCCAAGTCGCCAAGGGGGCCCGAAGGTAGCGCAGAAGGCGCTGCGGGCTGTCACCTCCTCCAGGATCTCCTCGAAATAGGCTGGCCACGTTTAGTGAGGGTAAGGCCAGGAGAACGCGTCCAGGTGCTCTATTCTCTATCCCCTCCACTCACCGCGAGGTTGCAAACGATCGGGGAAACAGGGCCTGAATGCACGGGCACGCGAGGGTGGCCTGCACGAGCCCGACGTCACGTCAACGAGGGCGGTGCCGGACCGACGGGAACTTCGCAGGGGGGACGAAGGGACAGGTTTCTTCTTTCCGCAGAGGCGGGAGGAAACGGGGGGAGCGATGAATACGAGGAGGGAGGGAGGGGGCTGGGAGGAGGGGAGCGAAGGGAAGGCCGGCGCACGGGCCATCGGACACTCACCGCCCCGGAATCTCCGATCCGTCGGGCACTCCTGAGGCCACGCGGTGGTGCCCCGCAGCTCGCATGCGGCCACCTTGGCCGCTCCGAGTCATCATTTGCGCCCAGGGGGGGAGCGGACAACATGTGGCGGAGCAGGCTAGGTGGCCCGCGCAGCTCCGGGGCAAGGCCCCCGGCACTTCATTTCCATGCCGGCTCGCTCCAGCCTAAGAGTCTAAAAGCGCAGCGAGCAAGAGGCGAGCATCCTCGCCGCTGGAGCGACCTCCATTCAGACCGTGCTGTATCTTCCTTCCTCATTCTCATTCTCTCTCTCTCTCTCTCTTCCTCTCCCTCTCCCATCTCCCATTCCACTCACTCACGCACTCACTCTTCCCCCCACACTCCCTCCCTCCCTACCTCTTTCCTTCGCCTTACTCCGTGCGACGGCCCAACCTGGCTGTACCCCTCCCCGCGGAGTAATATTAATGTGGCGGCGCCGCCGAGGCAGCCGCGCCGTCGTCGGACGGGCCAGAGCTTGTGGCAAGCAAGCACGAGACGGGGAGGAGGATGAGGAGGAAGAGGAGGAAGAGGAGGAGGGAGGGGGAGGGGCAAAGGGACGAGTGAGGTCGACTGGAATTGAGAGACGGCTGATCCAATTCAAGACCTCGTGCGGGAGTTGAGGGGGGAGGATGCGGACGAGGCGGATCGGTAAGAGGAGGGCAGATGAGAGGTGGGAGAAGACGGGGCGGGGCTGAGACGGGAGAAGGGTGGGGAGAGGAGGAGGAGGAGGAGGAGAAGGAGGACGTGGAGGACGTGGAGAGGAGGAGGAGGAGGAGGAGGTGGAGGAGGAGGAGGAGGAGGAGGAGGAGGAGGAGAGGAGGACGTGGAGAGGAGGAGGAGGAGGAGGAGAAGGAGGAGGGAGAGGTTGAGGGGAAGGAGGTGGAGGAGGTGGGGCGGGAGGGGGAGGGGAATGGGAGGAAGGGAAGGACGGGGCAGAAGGACGATGAGGGGGGGAAGACTGGGGAGGGGCCGCTCAGGCCTCTGGACCCGTGGACACGACGACCTTGGCCGGCCTCACCACCTGGCCGACCTCGCCCTCCGTGCTCACGAAGCCCTCCTCCAGCTCCTGCAGGATGGTGTCGGGGGGCAGCGGGCCGCTGGCGACCGAGACGGCCTCGTGCAGCTCGGGGTTGAACTGCTCGCCAACGACGGACGGCATCGGCCGAATCTTCAGCTCGGACTCGAGCGCGGAGACGAGGCGGCGGCGGAGGGGCGCCAGGAGGGCCTTCCCCTCCTTCGGCGCGCTGGCCCCCGCCCGGCGGAAGTCGTCCAGGACCTCGAGCAGCGGCCGGGCGACCTTGGCCAGGGCCTGCTGGGCCCGCTGCTTCTCCTGGGCCTCCGCGCGGCTCTTGTAGTTCTGGAACTCCGCGGCCTGGCGGCTCAGGCGCTCCTGCGCGCCCCGCAGCTCGGCCCGCAGCTCGGCCGGGCCGCCCGCCGCGCCCGCCCGCTCCAGCGCGGCCGCCTCGGCCGCCTCCCCCTGCCGCTCGAGCTGCAGGCGCCGCGCCTCCAGCGCCTCCGCCTGCTGCTGCAGCCCCGCGCGCTCCCGCTCCAGCGCGTCCGCCTGCCGCTGCAGCCCCGCGCGCTCCCGCTCCAGCGCCGCCCGCTCACGCTGCACGGCGGCGGCCTCCGCGCCTCCCCCGGCGGGCCCCGCGGCGGCCCGCAGCCGCTGCGCCTCCCGCGCCAGCGCCTCGCGCTCGCCGCCGAGCGCCTCCGCCTGCGCCTCCAGCTCCTCGCGGAGGCGCTGCAGCGCGGCGCGCTCGCGGCGCGACGCCTCCGCGGCCTCGGCGCCGCGGCCGCCGGGCGCGGCGGCCTTCCTGCGCTCCGCCTCCAGGCCCTCCGCCTCCGCGCGCAGCCGCTGCCGCTCCTGCGCCAGGAGCTCCGCCTGCTGCCGCAGCGCGGCGGCGTAGCTCTGCTCCTCGGCCTTGGTCTTGGCCTTGTAGTCCTGGATCTTCTGCAGCTCCGCCGCCAGCCGCGCCTCCGCCCGCTCCACCTCTGGAGGAGCACGTAGAGAAGACATGGACAGACGCGTGCTCGGAGCTCCGCGCGAACTTCCTGGAACCTGTTGGGCCCCCACCCCTCCCCGGCGCGCGGAGCGCGCCAAGGGCGAGGCGTCGGCAGGGGCCCACCGACGATCCAAGACATCCTCGCGGACCTCCGAACGCTTATGCTTAGACGAAAGAGCACATACACCGATTCGCCAAGCCCACCCCTAGCACAGGATCGGCGCATTCGCCCTCCTGGCTTGGCCAAGGGGCGCACCGCTTCCAGTCCCAGGGATGGCCCTGGGCAGGATCGGTGTACGTGCATTGGTTCTCTTCGCCCGACTGCAGAGGCGTTGTTGCCCTCCTCGAGCCTCCTGGCTCGCTGTGCGGCGGATCGACTCGCGCTCCTGGGACATCACCTGCGCCGCCCGCTGCAATCGCTGTCGCTCCTCGACGAGCACCGCGCGCTCCCGCCTCAGGGCCGCGGCCACGGCTGCCTGTTCCTGCCTCTTGGGCGTTGCTCGACGGCGGGGCGCGATACATCGAAAGTATAGGATGAGGTACGCCTGTAGAAGGACTCCGAGGCCTGGAAGACGGAGGAACTCCAACTGGGGATTGGCCATGGATGTCACCACCGCCCTCGCCTGATAAGGTATCCTCGAGGATCTGAAGCCTCCTGGGCGCATGCCTTGACAACCGCCTCCGCCACCAACGGAGGCCGAATAGAGCGAGCACCCTTTGTGCCCCTTGTCGGGCCCCCGTTGGGCCCCAGAGGGCCGCTGCAGGGCCCCAGAAAGGTGCAATAACCGACCGCCCTGGCAGTCCCATGGGCCCTACAGGCAATCAAAATATTTCAACACTTACACGCAATGTTCGTAGCGCATGGATGATGGTCTCAGCCAGAACAGGTCTCGTGCGAATCCCCAAACGTCCTTATCGAACGGTGATTTGGTGGGCCCGTGGGCAAGCCAGGACGCTCCGCCACTGCTTGACTGTGAGATCCCCCCAACAGGTGCAACACACATGTGTGCATCATCCTTGGCTTTACGTGTTATCGAGGGTAAATGAGGGGATGAGGAGGAGGAGGAGGAGGAGGAGGAAGAGGCGGAGGAGGAGGAGAAGGAGGAGGATAGGGATGATGCTGATAATGATGGTGATGATGATAATGATGATGATGATGAGGATGATGATGATGATGATGATGATAATGATGATGATGATGATGATGATGATGATAATGATGATGAGGATGCTGATGAGGAGACGGAGGTGGAAGAGGGGGAGGGAGAGGAGGAGGAGGAGGAGGCGGAGGAGGAGGAGGAGGGGAGGGGAGATGAGGAGGAGGAGGAGGTGGAGGAGAGGAAGGAAGAGGATAATAAGGATGATGATGAGGAGGAGGCGGAGAAGGGAGAGGAGGAGGAGGAGGAGGGGAGGAGGAGGAGGAGGAGGAGGAGGAGAGGGAGGAGGAGAAGAAGGCTGATGACGAGGAGGATAAGGACGACGATGCTGATGATCATGATGCTGATGATGATGATGCTGCTGATGATGACGACGACGACGACCTGGCTGATGTCAATGATGATGCATATGAAGTTGATCATGCTGATGCTGCTGATGATGATGATTATGATGATGATGACGATGCTGATGCGGATGTTGATGATGCTGATGCTGATGCTGATGCGGATGCTGATGATGCTGCTGCTGATGAGGATACTGATGATGATGATGCTGATCAGGATGCTGATGATGATGATTATGAGGATGATGATGATGATGATGATGATGATGATGGTTGTGATGATGATGATGATGGTGATGATGATGCTGATGATGATGATGGTGATGATGATGATGATGATGATGACGATTAGGATGAGAAGGATTAAGAGGCGGATGAGGAGGAGAGGGAGGAAATAGGAGGGGAAGGATGAAGATGATGATGATGCTGATGCTGATGATGTTGATGATGACGATGATGATGATGATGATGATGATGATGATGATGCTGATGCTGATGATGTTGATGATGATGATGGTGGTGGCGATGCTGATGAAGATGATGACGATGATGACGGTGATGACGACGATGATGATGATGAGGAGGAGGAGGATGAGCAGGATGCGGAGGGGGATGAAGAGGGGGAGGAGGAGGAGGAGGAGGAGGAGAGGAGGAGGAGGAGGAGGAGGAGGAGAGGAGGAGAGGAGGAGGAGGAGGAAGAGAGGAGGAGGAGGAGGAGGAGGAGCGAGGGGGAGCGGAGGAGGAGGGGGGGAGGAGGAGAAGAGGAAAGAGAAGAGGGCGGGGCAAGAGGAGGAGGAGGAGGAGGCGGACACAGAGGAGGAGGAAGGGACGAGGAGGAGGACGAGGAGGTGGACGGGAAGAGGAGGAGGAGGGGGAGGAGGCGGGAGAGGGGCGATGAGGAGGCGGAGAGGAGAAGGAGGAAGAGGAGGAGGAGGGGAGGAGGAGGAGGAGGGGAGGGAAAGATGAGGAGGAAGACGACGAGGCGGGGGAGGAGGAGAAGGAGAGGAGAGGGAGGAGAAGGAGGCAGGCGAGGAGGAGGAGGAAGAGGAGGAGGAGGGTTAAAGAGGAAGATGAGGAGGAGAAGGATGAGGAGGAGGCGCGAGAGGGGGGAGGAGGTGAGGGGACACAGGAGGAGGATCAGGAGGAGGAGGAGGAAGAGGGTGCGGAGGAGGAAGAGGGGGGGGAGGAGGAGAAGGAGGAGGAGGACGGGGAGGAGACGCAAAAGAGGCGGAGGTGAGGAGGAGGAGAGGAGGCGCGGAGGAGGAGGAAAGAAGGAGAGGGAGGAGGAGGCGAAGAGGAGGGGGAGGAGGAGGAGGAGGCGGGGGGGAGGAGCAGGAGGAGGAGGAGGAAGGAGGAGGAGCGGAGCAGCAAGAGGAGGAGGAGGAGGCAGGAGGAGAGGAGGAGGAGGAGGAGGAGGAGACGGAGGAGACGGAGGAGGATGGAGGAGGGGAGGAGGAGGAGGAGGGGAGGCGGAGGGGGAGGAGGAGGAGGAGGAGGAGGGGGAAGAGGAGGAGGAGGAGGAGGAGGAGGAGGAGGAGGAGGAGGAGGAGGAGAAGGGTACTGAGGGTACTGACTACGCGGGCGCCACGTGGCGCCCCTGGCCGCTCCGCCACGAATTAATCCTCAGATTAATTCAGACTCCTCAGGGGCTCTCTGGCGGGACCTCTCCCACCGCACAAGCTCCTCAGGCGAGGGGAAGCCGTTCAACTTGGCAACGCTGGTGGCGTCAAGACAGGGAAGGCATAGCAGTCTGCAGGCCTGCTTCACCTCCCCTGCCACGCGGGGTCTCCCACTCCCCGCCGACGCCTGGGGCTCGACCCACCCTTCTTCACCTACAGACTCGCTGCTAGTAGCAGCAGCAGCAGGAGCAGGGGCAGGCTCAAGGAGTGGCCCCCAAACAGCACGCATCTGAAGTGTCGGCCCATGGGCCGCCCCTACTCGAGCATTCCCACGGGTGTGCCCTGGGAACAGACCTCGGCGGAGCCTGGACCTCTGGGCCTTGAGCCCAGGATGACCCGCTCCCTTACATTCTCCCTGCAGTCCCCGAGCGTTAGAATGCGCTGAGGCACCGCAGATCTTGCAGAATAATATTGGCGACAGTTCCTGGCCTTGATCTGATGCGACGCTGGCCTGCACCACGCTGTGCCCTCGCAAAACCCAAGGCACACCAGTGGCAGCAACAAAGCCAGCGTCGACATCATGGGGTTCTTCCGTACCAGCAGGGGAGGAGGAAGGACTCGGAGCAGAGGAGGGACCAGTCTCATTCCCCTCGGCCAGGGGCCAGTTTCCAAACGGCGCCCTGTCTTCCTCCAGACAGGCACGAATTAGATACTGGGGCAAATCTTCATCTAGCACGATGTCCCCTGTACCAGATAGATCGACAGGATCTGGCTGCTCTAACTCTCCGAAAAACTCCTGGCACCTGCTCTGCCAGAGCACTATGTCCGAGGCAATTCTTTCACACCCCGAGACAAAGTCAATATGGTCCCGAGACACATTCCAAAGCTTGGCTCCAGCCTTGGCCCACTTGTCAGCCAAGGCACTGCCCTTGATGAGCCACGCATCATGATCAGACCTAGAGTCCCTTAAACTCCTGTGGGCCGCAACCTTAACAATCGAAGCCTTCCTACCTAAATCGGACCACCAGGTCCACCACATGTGCGCACGTGCATTAGAACTGGCCAAGGCAACACTGGAGTCAGTAGCACAACCGAAGGAAGCAGCACAACCGGTGTGCACAACTAAGGGATCATCAACAGACCATTCAGCAAACAGAGACAGCATATGGAAAGCCCAGTCCTCCCCGTCGCGGGCGGACTGCGTGGGCGCCTGGTGGAGCGGCACTGCGCCGTACATGGCTCCGACGAGCTCTCCAGCACGATTGACCTGAATCGCGGCCCAACCTGCCCGACTCAGTCCCTGAAGATGAGTGTGGAAAACAGAACCGTCAACAAACACGGAACCCGAGAACCTCCAACCAGGACAAACACCAACAAACCGCACTCGATTTTCTTCAGGGACTTCCGCCACGGGGAGGCAAAAGGAAGGCGAGGGGAAGAGACAACGCGCCATCGTCTCTGCAGCTTCCTCACCAAGGGTTCGCACATACATGGCTGCCTGCATTACATGGGTCGGGCATTCCTCTCGACGAGGAACGGCGCTCCCAGGGCAGTCGTAGAATATATGATGAAGCGTGCCTCTCATGCCACAGTGCAAACAACGATCATCCCCCGCCCTTCCGTGCGCGTGCAAGCGCGCCTGGGGCCAGTGTGACCCTCCTACCAGACTTCTGATAGCAGCTGCTCGGTGCGCACCCCATCGCTCCGAATAGTCCTGCTCGAGCAGCTTGCCGACAGGTCCCCGGTGCAGCGGGTGAACCCAGGGCGCCTTCAAACGTTTCAAAGCGTTGACGTCCGACGCCTGAAGGGCCAGGGGCCGAATCAAATCCACGAAAACGCGAAACATACTGAATCTTGAACTCTCCGAGTCGGGGATGCCTCAGACTTTCCACCGCTGGCAACTGGCGCCCAATCCTGGCGAGCGAAAGGACCGCCGCCTGAGCTGGATCTACAACCTGAGCCCAAGGCCTATCTTTGAAGAGGAGCGGCTGCGCTTCCTCGAGGCACGCCCGAAGCGGACCTATGCCTGGCATACAGGAATGTACACTCAAAGCCAAATGCTTGACTACATCACAGGCATGCACAATCCAAGGGTCCCTGGTGGACCCTCGCTGCGTCGACCTCAGACGAAGCGCCTTCTGCACGCAACGAAGCAAGTCGCAAGGCGGCTAGCTTAGTGTCAGCGATGCCAGTGACCGCCGCCCCTGCCTGAGCGAAAAAAACACGCTTTGAAACCGATGGCGCTTTGGCCAGGCGTTTGTTCTGCTCTTGAACACTCCTCGATGCGCCATCCGTGGCATCCGTACCCAAACACCTACTGCTGCGAAGCTTCTGCTCATGGCCTAGGCTCCATATCTCGTTAAGCT